TCAAAGAGTGGACTGATACTGTGAAGTCAGCGTTTGCACAATCTGTGTCAAAGTTCAAATCTGTGAAGTTCTGTCCAGATTCAGATGCATGGAAAGCGTCTGAGAGAAAGATCAGAGAGATGTTACTGAATGAAAATGTGATTGTAGTACCTGATAAAGACAGTGGTGCTTTATCAGTGGCTGGTCCTGTTAGTGATGTCAACAGACTGGAGAAATCTCTTTCTGAAATTATTAACAAGATTGCCAAAACGATCCACAGAGAGAAATCAAGTAAAACCGAAGAGATCAAAGTGTCACCATCAGTTTTCCATCTGCTGTGTCAAGATGGCCTCATGGACAAACTTCTACTTGTGTATCCAGAACTCAAATTGGCACCAGAGAGTCCTAATCTGAAAATAACTGGTTTAGGGGAAGAGATTAATGCAGCAAACAAAGTTATATTTGATGCAGTACTTGCATTAAAACGACAGAATCTGGAAGTAGATAAAGATGTGCTTGAACTGTTGAAGGATGAGCAACAAGAGGAGCTTACAGATGCTCTCCTCACATCTCATCGAATAAACGCAGCGTTTGAAATCAGTGGAAACAGGGTGCAGCTCCTTGCTGTTTCTGACAGAGATCTGTCTCATGCTCAGGACCATCTAGGACAGCTGTTAACAACTCAGTACATTAATGTTGAAGACAGTAATGTCCTGAAGAAGCCAGAGTGGCAGCAGCTGGTCAGTCACTTAGAGCAGGCTAACAGTGAGCCATGCAGAACTCGAATCAACACAACTGCTCAACAAGTCGTGGTGTCAGGCTACAAGGATAGTGCCATAAAGGTTCAGCATCAGCTTGGTGTCTTCTTAACACAGAACGCTCACATTGAAGAAACTGTTGTGGTCAAAGCTAATGCTGTCGTTAAATACTTGGAAGAGTTCAACACATCTTGGATGGAGAAAGTGAAAGACAAGGTGAGAGTGTCCTACAGAAATGAGGCCATCTGTCTGAGTGGATCCAGAGTGAATGTGACACATTGCAAGACTGTGGTTGAAGGTGCCGTCTCTGCTGTAGTCTTTGACAATCTGAATGTCTTCAAACCTGGAGTGAAGAAGCTCTTCCAGGAAAATGAAGCTTATTTTTCCACAATCAAAACTAAAACTGGTTGCCTGGTTCAACTAGTTGATAAGCCAGGTGGTGGACAAGACAACGTTAAACAAGTACCAACACCTTTATACCAACTTAAGATGCCTGGAGGAGTAGAAATCGCTGTTTACAAGGCAGATATGTGCAGTTACCCAATGCAGGCAGTTGTGAGTCCATTTAATCAAGACTTGAAACACAGTACTGGTCTTGCAGCAGCACTTTTGAAGGCTGCCGGCCCTCAGTTACAAGATGAATTTTACAAAATGAAAAAAACAAAGGGTCAACTCAAGCCAGGAGACTGTGTCATAACTGATGCAGGAGGAACACTTTGTTGCCAAAAGGTCATCCATGCTGTGGCACCCAAGTATGAAAAACCACAGCAAGCTTCAGCTCAGTTGAACAAAGTTGTTAAAGGAAGCTTAGAAGCCGCTGAAAACCACGGATGCATCTCAGTAGCTCTTCCATCTATTGGCAGAGGAATGCGCTGCTTTCCCCTCAAGCAGTGTGAACTCACCATTGTCAAAGCAGTGAAGGAGTACTGTTATGAGAACTATGATGACATCATCTTGCAGAAGATCCATTTCGTGAACAATGACGACATTGCTGTTCAGGATATGGTGGCTGCTGTCAGGCAGGAGTTTGGAAACCTTAGTGACACTCATTCTCAACAAACTCCTCATCTCACTGCTCCCACACAATCAGTATCACAGTCTACTGGATCTGACCTGTGTCTGAATCCTGTGCAGACCAAAGAAGGCGTGGACATCGTTCTTACAAAGGGAAACCTAGAAGCTTCCACGGTAATTCAGATTTTGGCTGTTTATATCTAATTAAAGTGAATAATAAATAAATAAATTAAGAGGCAAATTGTCCAGTACAGGAACCAACGACTGCATG